GGCCTCAAACTCACAGAGATCTGCCTACCTCTGCCTCCCGAATGCTGGATTTTAAAGGCATGCACCACCACTGCCCGGCTTTGGTGAAAACTTTTAGGGCAGCGAAGGAACAGGCAGAACCTGAAGATAGAATGGTCTGGTTTCTTATCCCATGGTATTTGCAGGCCTTGAGTTGAGTTATCATTGTTAGAAGTGGCTTTCAGAGCCGGGCGGTGGTGATGCATGCCTTTAATCCCAGCACTCAGGAGGCAGATCTCTATGAGTTTGAGGCCAACCTGGTCTACAAGAGCTAGTTCTAGGACAGCCATGACTGTTACACAAAGAAACCCTGCCTTGAAAAACCACACACCCACACACACCACACTCACTCTGTGGAGTGACTGCTGTAACTGCAGCAAGGCTTGTGAGGTACTGATGCATTTCCCACTTGCACTGGCATCCTATACACAATGCATCCTATAGAGGTGCTGCATCTCGTCAATATGGCCTGTTGCAGCAGCTCAAGAAGTTCTCCAAGAGGCCTTCACTCTTTGTACTTTTAACATTTCCATGGTCCCCCCTGCCCAAATCATTTTATTTTTTCAAGGTTGCTTCTCTTTGAGGTCATGAATTCTTTGACATGCCAATATTTTTTTATCTTTTAATTGGGCTATTGAAGTGTTATGATTGTGCTGGAGGAGTCGCGTTGACTTGATGTCCCATCTTTCATGTGTTTCTGTGTTGTGATTTTTGCATCTGTGAAGATCTATAATGTAAATCACGTCTGCCTTTACTTAAGGATCTTCTTAGTGAGCCCCTTTTGGGGGGACATGGCAGAGCTCAGTGAGGCGCAGCACGTAACGTAAAACTTTAAGACAATTCTGAACCCTCTCAGCTTCCGTGCCTTAGTGCTTCCCCTCCTCCCCTGGGAACCAAGGACCTAACAGCTACACATGCACATATGTTCTCCAGAAATTGGGGCAAAATAACCTTTAAGATGTTGACTCAGTTCCTGAACAATTACCCATACACGTATGTTTTGATTCGGTCCCTGGCAAACAGGGTCAAAATGACCTCTTACCTCATCTGATCTGGCAACAGCTCTCAGCCAATTATTGGTAATAGCCCGTTTGAATAAGCCAATCATAATAGTCAAAGAACAACCCCTCCCTTGCTTCTGTGGCCTTTTCCTTTAAAGTAGCCTGTACCAGCTATTCAAGGTCTCTTGGCTTCCCGAATGCTGAGGGACCCTGTCATGACAGAATTAATAAAATCTTCATGCTTTTGCATCGGTTGTGGTATGAAGGGTGTTCTCTGGGGGTGACTCCTCCTCGGTGATTGGACGCTAGGGTCCAACAGTAAGAAGAAACAAGCTGACCAACAACCACATCAAACCAACAACACACAGAAACACAATTAAAAGTTGTTAAGCCAGGCAGTGGTGAGGCATGCCTTTAATCCTGGCACTTGGAGGGGCAGAGGCAGGGGGATCTCTGTGAGTTTGAGGCCAGCCTGGTCTACTAGAGCTAGTTCCAGGACAGGCTCTAAAGCTACAGAGAAACCCTATCTTGAAAAACAAAAAACAAACAAACAAACAAGTCACCTACAATTAAAAGTTATTAAATATTTAATTGGGGGCTTTCTTAATATTCCAGAGGGTGAGTCCATGACTGTAAAGGTGGGGAGCCTGGCAGCAGGCAGGTCTGGCGTTGGAGCAGTAGCTGAGAGTTTACATCCAGATCCACAAGCTGGAGGTAGAAAGAGCTAGGCTGGGCCTGGCATGGACTTTTGAAACCTCAAACCCCACTTCCAATAACACACCTCTCAATCCTTCCCAAAACAGTTCAACCGCCCATTCAAACATCTGAGCCTCTGGTAGCTATTCTCAGTCAAACCTCCACACTCCTCACCAAAGAGCATTGAAAACTTCATAGTTAGAAATTGCAGTAATAGTAAAAATACTAAATAAAATGAAGTGGGAAAAGCAAAAAAAGAAGCAAAGTTAAATAAAAGAAGGAAAAGGAGAAGGTAAGCTGAGGAAAATTAGGAAGAGGTGAAGGACCCCAACTCGTTTTAACCGCAATTATACCGTTTTGCAAAGGTTCACAGATAACTAGCTCAGGACCTCCGGACTGCTGAGCAAATAACAAGCTTCATTAAGGGCCTCCGGAATTCAGGGCCTCCGGAATGCTGAGCAAGATACCTGAGGTTAGAGCAAGGACAGCCTTATCTGGCTGCAAGACAGGGAATTTATGAACTGGCCATAGAAAACAAAGAAAGAGAGGATTGTGAGGCCTGAGTCACGTATAAAGCGGGGCTCTCACGAGTCAGGGGCTATGCAATCAGACATCTGGTCGCCAGCCAGGAAGGCAAAAAGAGATAAGAAAAACAGGTAGCACAACCCCCTCCTTGGTATCCAGGTGGGTCTGGACAACCCCCTCCTTGGTATTTAGGTAAAAGGTCAAGAATGTGCCACTCAGCTTAGCCTTATTTAAATTGACCAATGAAATGAATCCCCATAACCACCCTGCATCTTGCTTCTGTAAACCTCGCTTTTTGCTCTCCTATAAAAACCCCTCACCCCCAACCTGCAGGCGCGCAAGTCCTTCGAGAGACTCTGCCGCCCCAGGTACTTGCGTATCCAATAAACCTCTTGCTGCTTGCATCCGGCTGCGTGTTTTCAACTGATCTTTGGGCACGGGGTCTCTCCCAAGGGAAGACGCCCACGGGAGTCTTTCAGAGGGAGAGAATGGCAACAGAAAAACACCAAGCCTGTTAGGCTCCCCAAATTCCTTTTTCCAAATCTAGCATTTAGGCAGTTAGACAGAAGCCAGCATTCCCTCAAGGTCTTGAGAAGATAGTTCCTGCCTGCTAAAAGGAACCGATTCTCCTCATCTCTGGCAAAAGAACACAAATGGACCTAGCCCACAGTTCCTATTAGCATATCAAGGTCTGTGCTACCCTCAGGGTCCTCACCCAGTACAGACTCACCTGGTCGACACACCCGGCCTCTACCCCAAACCTCTCCAGTCCCCTTCCCCCCAGCTTCCTTTTCCCTTCCCCCAGCTTCTCTTTCCTATACAACTCCCCCGATGAATGAAAATGAGGACGTGACTGCTTTCTAGGTTTGGTTGAGGCGAAGGTTTTATTGTAGATCTGAGGAAGAGCACAACCAGAGGCGCCGGGAAAGTTCAGACTGAACTAGGCTGTGAGAGGAGAGAGAGAGCGCGGATAGCGCGAGAGGAAGAGAAGAAAGAGGAGGGCAAATGGACGAAGAGAGGTTCAGGAGCGGAGCCTTGAGAAGAACCGAGAGAACACGTGGCCGAAATGTCTGGGTTAAACAAGAAAGCTGGGGGGAAGGGAAGGGAAGCTCAGGGACTAGAGAGGTTTAGGGTAGTGGGCAGGGTACCTCAGCCTGGAGGACTCTGTACAGGTACCTGAGGGTCAGACCTGGGGGAGCCCTGAGGCTAGCATAAACCTTGATATGCTAATAGCACCGTGGGCTTAGGTTACTGGTGGACCTGTAGGTCTTTTTGTCAGAGCTCAGGAGAAAGACTCTAGTTAGCAGATAGAACGATTTCACAAGTCCCTGAGGGAATGCTGGCTTTTGTCTAAGTGCCAGACTTTGGGAAGAGGAATTTCTTGGGACCTAACAGGACCTGAGGAAGAAAGGGTTTACTTGGCTCTCAGGTCATCCCAGTGGAGCAGGCAGGGTAGCTGGAAGGCGAGGTAACTGGTCAGATTTTACTAATAGGAAGTGAATAGGTGCTCTCGTGACCCCAGGGTGTGGGATGGTGTCACCCACGCTTGAGGAGGATCTTCCCTTCTCTGTCAAACCAATGAACTCCACAGATACACCCAAGTTTCCATGGATGAGTCCAAATTCAGTCAAGCTGGCAGTAAAAATTGACCATCAACTCAGCTCATCACCGGCTGCTGCGGATCCCAGACCCCCTGAGGGTCAGTTCATAGTCAGAGTTGGATTCACTGTAGGTAAAAACAGTGTTGGGAGGTGTTGGATCAGGGGACACACGTCCTAGTGGGCAGTGCTCAGGTTACTGGGGACGTGGTCTAGAGAGGACTGTAGAGCACTAACTGTCGCCAGCATCGTTCTCTTCTGTGCTTTCCTGAGATTTACCCCTCTAGCCAGATCCCAAAGCAAATGGACTGCTAATGCTGGATGGAATTTCAGAACCATGATTCAAAATAAACTTTCTTCTTCTTCTTCTTCTTCTTCTTCTTCTTCTTCTTCTTCTTCTT